AAATGCTGAACAACCCAAAAGCTAAAGAAAAGTATTTGTTTTCAAGGACACTATTTGCTTTTGTGACCATGACTATAGGAAATGGACAGGGCAAATGACCTTTGCCGAATATGATGACAAAGAGGTTGCATCACGCAAACAGCATACGCAGCAGTCTCTCTGTGTGTGGGCTCTGATGCTCTTTCCATTTTAAAAGGACATTAGAGCTAATGGTCATGGTATCTCAGAGGTTTTCAAGCCTCTTTCCAGAGCAGTCTTATGGACCTTCATAGTCCATTAAGAAAGCAAACACTGGATATGTTCCTCATAGGGTTAACATGGCAACGCCAAAAGAGATTATCAATGTACAATGTGATTCAAGCTTCTATGGTTCAAAGTTCTAGTAGTGATTGTGTGATCAAACTAATAGCTACAAGGTTAATGACTAAAAACAGGACAATTTTCCACGAAAACAAAAATCCGGGCCAAGGAGTCAAGTTTTACATTTGCATTCAAAAATCAGGTACTGGCAGCAAAGCTTATGATTACAAAGAAATATTGAATAAGAGGCTGTCATACTGCTGTGCATAAGGCTCTTTTTCCATGCTGCTGAGGTGAGAAGGGGCATAAGCAAGCTGTTCCAGTGACTCTCATGGAAACATGCAGTTTGTCACCTCTCCTCCAACTCTTAACACATGAGCTCGACCCAGCATCATTTGATCCAGTCTGGGATTACTGATGGCCACAGTTCCTTTTCACAGTGTTAACAGTATCGAAGTGATAAGCCTGCTATTATGTCTACTGACTCTGAAGGCAGCACAGCTTAGCAGCAGCAGTATAGTCCAGTGCTAATTAATTTACTTAGCAATCTCACATATTTTATCCACTGGTGGTAATTAGTTAGTAAAACTAAGGGTTTTCTCTTTGTAATGTTACTGACCAGGGCCAAGAAGTTATTTGAATTTGTTTATCTCTAATGTAATCAACGAGCTGTGCAGTGTATTATGTGCGCCTCATCCTTCAACACCTTCCTCACTGATCCCTCACGTCTTTATATAACTGGCTGTGAGCAGTGCGTGTAATAAACCCTACACTAGCAGCTCCATAAGGGTCAATAAAAGTACAAGCTGAAATGCATTTAGAGATCTTGAATGAGTATCTCATTGGTCATTCTATCCCTTCTATTTGTGAGGATACCAAAAGCAATCAATACACGGGCCATTAGGCTTAACCAACTCTGTTTGTCGTTTAACTGCCCGCAGGCTTTCCGGGACCACCTGCCCACCTGTAAAAGACGGGTGCTTTACACAAAAAAGGATGCTTCAGGTTTCATACTGATGTACATGTAGTGACGAAGGTAACCCCTTAACTACAAGAATCAAACGTGTGTGGATCCATGTGCTCATGCTTCATCATCTGTTGAGATTTCATTAGCAAATGGAGCAACACATGCCTGTTTTCTCCCATGATGAGAAAGTCTGTCAGTGCTGTGTTTTATTTTTCTCTTTTTATCACAGTCAGTTATTTTACTCTCTGGCAACAACCTTTGGGCAGCTGCAAGACTGAGATACGAGACTTGAATGAAAGCTAATTGATGAAGCACAGCTGTATGCAGCCTCCCAGTGCAGTGTATAAAGATTTGACATTCAAACTGAGATCTGAGCTATGTCTTAAAGCCTGCCTCAAATACAAGAGGTCTCTGGTGATAAAAAGTCCCTGACAGTGGAGCTATGCAACTTGAAATAAAAAAAAAGTGTTTGTCTGCAAGTCTGTCCATTTTATTCATTCAATGTTTATTGGAAAGCTATATTGAATGATGAGTTACTTTGAAGAGTGGGAACAACCAATATTATCTACAAGTAAAAAAACAATGGTGAATTTCTCCCACTCGATTCACTCTACAAAACCCATGTCCGTGCCATTAAATTTGTCAACTAATCAATGAACCTGAATCAACTATATGATTATTCATCATTCAGTAAATAAGTTACTGGTGAAAAGTAAAAAATGTCACTGTATTTACACACAGTTTGCTTTTAATGTTTTAGAGATGAAACACAAAGGCATTAATATCCTGACATGAGGACATTTTGCTGCCTCACACATGTATTTGTGAGCAGAGGGAACACACAGCCACGCATGATTTTATTTCACCACTTAATTGCCTTACTTAGCAGTGCTGCTTTTGTAATGGGTAATTGGTTGTCATGACAAACACTTAGGCTATTCATAGCCTACAGACTTGAGTAAAAAAAAAACATCAGCAAATACATTTGAATACCGGATGTGGAATATTTCTGATAGAAGCTTTCCTCAAATGGTAGCTAGACATAAAGGAATTGATTGAATGTATTTCCTCTCTCTCTCTCACAATCTTCTCCATACATAACCTGCCAGGATCAATTGTCAGGATAAAATTAAATAACTTTAACTTGCATACTGCATATGATTGCAATCTTTGACCTCCAAAAGCTCTCAGAAAGTGGATTGCTTTTTGTGACACAAAAACTCAATGCACTCCTCACAAGTCCCGTTTATTTAATATGTTTTTGTTAGTGGAGCTTGGTTTTGATGGTGGATCTTTTTTCGTTTCTTAATCCTGATTCATGCTCTTTCTCAAAACTTGATTGACATCCATACTTACATTCACATGCTAAATTAAACTGATATAAGGAAAGTGTTTCAATGGGGACTCTGTTGCAATTCTACAGTCTGCCATGTAGTCTAAAGCTTTTTTTCCCCTTTTTTGTCAGACTGTTTCAGATCTCTGCTGTGTAACCAACACCACTGTTCCACAGTTATATGACTTTATTACATACCTCTTTCAGAGTCCCTTCCTCATTTGAATTTATAAATCCACTAGTTCCTTTGTGAAGAGAAATGAAAATGTTCATCTTTGAAAATGAGTTTAAAAAATGAGAAACTTGAAGGAAAGTCCTACAAATATAGGAAAAAAGGTTTCATAATGAAATCGCCATGCATAATGATAACTAGTATGTTGTTTTTATTCAAATATCATTATAATCTATAAGTGTCATTCATTCACACATTCACTATATTTGAAAAGCATCAGCATGAAATATCTTGGTCTGCATTAAAAAAATCTGGGCCAATATTGTCAAGGCACAGTTAATTTCCTGCCTTTTGCAATTCAGGCGAATTATTTCCAAATGAAATAGAACATAACTAGCCAAAAAGGGATGGTTGCATATTTGACTTGATATGTGGGTTGGACCAGAGTCACACATTTTTTGTCTTGTTTTGTTTGTGTTTTTTACAGACCACAGACCATCGATAAAATAAATAAATAAATAACCCTAACATTTGCCCAAATCTTTCTGGTAGCCATAGAGACAGGTTAAATAAAGAGGTAAAAATATGGAAGTATCTTGGTTTTCACAGATGGAGAATGTAAGAACAGACTTAAGAAACAGGTTTATTCAGGTGTGACAGAAATATGATGTGAAAGTAAAATTATGAACCTATTTTACCAGTAGTTGATCAGCTTATGTCTGAAGATGTATTGTCTCTGAGGTCTTATTCCCCTATAACATGGAATCGGGACCGTAAACATCCAGTAATAGAGTCCTGGACTGTTTGGAAAGGGAAACTCACAAAAAATTAAATAAAGCACTTCTTTTATGTTGTGCTGTGACAGAAGCAATGTGGGGAATTCCTTGCTTGTGCGATTATATGAGTCAGAGACAGATAACAGAAACAGAGAGAAAATAGCAGTCTAAGATTAATACTGGTGGAAAGAAATATTTGGAGTTGCACTTTTTGTCCAGATAGAGCACATCCATTCTCAGCTCACCTTTAATATGGCAGAAACCCACAAAATGTGGTCATCTGATGGGCTCACACTATAAACACAAATGTGGACTGACAAATTAATTTTGATATGTAGAAGATATTAATCAGGTGTGAAGGATGTTGCCAGTCCTTGGGCTTTGACAGTGACTGATTCATTCTGACGTATTGATTGATTAGCTGAAACAAACAGTGATCTGGCATTTTGTGAAAGACATTTCAGACAACTGATCTGTGGTTAAAGCACTTTGAAGACACTTTCTATTAAGTTAGATTTGGCCTCCAGTCACAAGTTGGTGCACAAAGCAAAGAGACTTCTATCACATTTGAGAATTACAAATTAGCTTTCTTTTTTGTCATTGTTCTATACAAATACTTTTTTCTCCAAAGGGAACAAATCCAATAGTTTATTCATGGAAGGGAATTAGCTGCTTCAATCTAAAATACTAAACCTGAGTCATCAGAATATCTGGGGAGCAATACAGTAGGTCTGTTCATCTAATGTTATTCTTCTCAAGTTTCTTTTTTACATCCTCTGAAGATCTGTTCAGTCTAACATAACTTAATTTTTCAAAGCTTGGACTAAGATATCATTGCAGCATTGGGCTCTAAAGTGTTTTTTCTTTATAACAGTTATGCAAATTATCTTAAACCTATCATCACACCCAAAAAAGGCCAACTGTGACAGTCTGATGTTTAGCAAATTTAAAATGTCATCCTCAGATGCTAACCAGTCCTGCAGCTGTTTCGTTCTCAGCTCCACAGGGTGCTGTGCTTATGGCTGTTGAGGTGTGAGTGTGAGCATGACAGTTAATAAGTAGGACAAAAATCTACTGTAGCTGCTCCTCTAAGCCTATACACATAAAATTCACATACACTCCTGAGCATGGAATATATCAATCACCTCTGACACAGTACCTCTGCCTGTCACCATGGTAACACCCTAAAGCAACAGCTTTCCTCTGTAAGGCTGACTAACTTATTGTGTATTTTTCATTATTATTCATTATTATTGAATATTGCGTAATGATCCCACTTTCTTTCCAGTGTTGCTGAACAGGATTAATTCTTAACCCTTTTTAGGCATGCTCACCAAACAAATTGAGAAAAACAGATTTTTTTTGTCTTTATTTGGCACTTTTACAAAATATAAAAAAAAACAGAAACAATTGGGGTACAGGAAATAAACAGGAAGTAACCAGGAAGTAATGAGGAAGTAACCAGGAAATAAACAGGAAGTAACCATGAAGTAAACAGGAAGTAACCAGGAAGTACAGGAAATAAAAAGGAAGTAACCAGGAAATAAATAGGAAATAAACAGTAAACCAGGAAGTAAACCAGGAAGTAACCAGGAAGTAACCAGGAAGTAACCAGGAAGTAAACATGAAAACAGGAAGTAATTAGGAAATAAACCAGGAACCAGGAAATAAACCGGAAGTAAACAGGAAGTAAACATGAAAAACCAGGAAGTAACAAGGAAATAAACAGGAAGTAGAGGAAATAAACAGGAAGTATAGGAAATAACCAGGAAGTAGAGGAAATAAACAGGAAGTAACCCAGAAGTAACCAGGAAATAAACAGGAAGTAACCAGAAGTAAACATGTGCGATGAGTCAAACATTTTTTGCCCACTGTTATCATGTATATCTGATTGTGTATAACAGGGTTTCTCCTTGGACATGCCCTAGGCTTAGTTTTATCAAGAGACATTTTGGGGTAGAATATCTGAAAGAGGTTATCATTGATTTTAGCTGGAAGAGGACAAGGAAAAATCGATATCTTGTGTGACAGCCCTATTTCCTAAACTTGTAAAATGCCTTTCAAGGAATGCCTCAGGTTAGTCTGGCATAAACTAATGAAAACAACCTGTTAGCAGTAGCTTCAAAATTCTCTGCATTAGTGGCACACATCTCAGTGTTTCCTCATCAAACTGAACTGGGAGTGTCATTCAGAATACAATGTCAATAAAACAGAGGACTTTATTAAATTTGATATTCACAATAATTTCTGTGTCTTAAGTAGGATTGTGGTGGCATTTGGCATTTTGTATATATATATATATATATATATATATGCAAACAGACACAATCGGAACAGGAGCCTTAGTCACAGTAAAAGTCCATGTCCTGAAAGAGAAGGAAAACATTATGTTGACCACTTCCTAAAAATGATTTTAAAATGAAATTATTAATCTTAAACAATATCTGATAGAAGACACAAATTTACTTACAGTTGTTTGTATCTGAGTCGTGTTGTCTGTAAACGTATTTTTCTCTGTCACCACAGTCGCAGGGAAATATCCGATTCTGCCCATCTGGTCCACATAGCGCTCACTGTACACCTGCCAACAAAAGTAACATGGACCATGCACAACGTTGTATATTTTAATCAATTCAACCTTTGATAATCAATTTGACAAAACCAAATGCAAGCACATTTCAGATTTATTGACCCTGGATAATTAACTAAGTTTATTCAAAGAAAACTTTAACATGTCCTCTATATCTTTTCTTATCATTTCAAATTTGCTGTGTGCTACTTGAGATACAACAGATATGAACATACGCTTCCAGACCAGAAGACTCCAGTACCCTCTGCTGGTATGAGTTTAGAATACACATATACAATCTGACCCTTCTTGATGTTGATGAATCTGCAGTCAGGAGCTATGAAGTCATCCAACGCTGTAGCCATTGAAAGAACATCTAAAAATTAAGGAAAGTTTAAAAGTATAACCCACCGCTGTTCTGTTTTTTAAAATGTTACCATGGATATGCCGTTTGTTTTCATTATCTAATGCAGCACTGCTTTCAAGATACATTCTGAATACTGCACAAAACATTCATATTGTCACTCACATGAACATTCTGTGTCTCCACAGATCTTGCTGTCAGCGAGTTTATCCATTCGGATGGCCATTGATGTTGGATGTAGTAGAAACACACAAAGCAGAATCACCAGTTGAAAATGCATGTTGACCAAAAGAGCACAACTATGAGAAAGCTGTAGGCTATGTGAAGGTCTGTGGAAACTTAAGGCTATAAAATCCCTAACGTCTTCTTTCTGCCAGCACTGAATGGGCTGAGCCCCTGAAGAAGTTGCCTGACCAATCAGGGTCAAGTTTCAGAAATGTAGGAATCTGGAAGTATTCATCTTCCTCAAGGGAGTCAAGGGCTGACTTTATTCAGAGGCAAACAATCACAGTTTATGTGAAATCTGAAAAATAACTCATCTAAAGGCATTTTGAAATTAAAAGAAATGAAAAATATATATTTGATTGAGTGAAAAATATAATATAAGGTGGAACCAATAGTTCAACCATCCAACAATAAGATACAATAACATATATAATTAAATAATTTCCCTCTGGGATTATTAAAGTATTTCTGATTCTGATATATAAAATGTAATAATAGTAGTAGAGAAATGAATAGCAGTTAAATAATAATACTAATCACTGCTTTCATTCGAATTGCATCGTGTAAACAAATATAACAAGTAAATGAATAGTTAGTCCAAAGTGCCTTAAAATCTTATCTTTACCATGACTTATGATACTATACTATACCATACTATACTATACTATACTATACTATACTATACTATACTATACTATACTGTACTATACTATACTATACTATACTATACTTACTATAAGACATCTCATTAAAACACTCAAAGAACCATGGCAAAGCCCATTTTTGTTTTGTTTTTATTCAAAGGAGGGGAAAAACACGTTCATAGAAAAATATATTGTATGATTAGCTTACACGTAGTAGAAGACAATCACGATAAGGGTAAAGTGGCTAATCTATATAAGTAATAGTTTTCTACAAACTCCCAACAGTTTTTTCAAGTTACCTGAAAATAAGTCGACAACTAAGTTACTGAAGCCTATAAAAACATAGTTTAAATGTCAATTGTGAATCGACGTTTTAAAATCCGTTCTTAACATGCATTCACTTCTCTTGGTAAACAAATACGTAACTATTTTTTCGTCTGATGCAAAGCCTTGTGTTAAAGCCAAAGTTTCGGATAGTGGCTGGTAGATGGGCGGAGTTTATTCCTACAGCCATTCATCAGACAGGACCGCTCGCTCGCGATATTCAGTTGAGCAAAACAAGTATACCATTGCTGACGTAATCGCACTGTAAACTCAAAACGACGGGCTCCGGGTCAGTCTGAGCTGTTATTGTTCGGTTTGGAGAGTTTGGGGGAGGTCGGTGCTTTGTTTTGTTTTATAGGGCATGTAAGCCACCCTTAGCTGGATAACTTGATATTAATATCAACACATACATGTCTGGCCCAGATAGTGTTTCGATATTGTAGCAAAAACATCTTGGAAGAGGTAAGCTAACAAGTTAGGTCCAAAAAGAAGCCGATGGATGCGCGGGTATCGGAATTGTTTGGGTCAGGAAATGGACACGGCTCTGGATCTCAAGGTGTTGCGTCTAACAACAAAACGGGAAATGGCTATGGTGCTGCCTCCAAAAAGGCTGCTGCGAAGAACAACAAGAAAGCAAAAGCTCGTTTCTCTCGCAACTTCAAACCAAGCAATAACACCCCATATTTACCTCCAGAGGTAAGTCTGCAATTACGCTCCAAATTACAACTATTCAACTCAAGCTGTCGCGGTTGTCGAATAACAGAAAAGTCTGGCAATATTATAGCAAAAAAAAATCTTGTTTGCATTCAGTTTGACGCCTATGATAGATTTGCCAAAGCATTTCCTGTCGCTCGGGTTAGCTGGTTTGCCTTTGAAACTGCGGTGACGCGTAGCTAGTTGGTAAGGAAAATGAATGAGGTGGTTAAATCAGGCTCGGATTTGTAAGATCCGTAATTTTTACAGAATAACAATGTGTCGTTCACTTCTGTTTCTTAGCAAGAGACCAAAATGTCTTTAAATCTGATAACCAATCGGTATTTAGATGGCTAATATGCTTGCTAACTCGCGGAAACGTAACAGCTGTGTTTGTAAATAAGGGGGCGGGTAGCAGTACAGAGAAGCTCTCTTAGCATCACACAGAAAATAACGACGTTAGTACACAGTAAGTATAGGTTACAGCGAACATTTGGTTCAACCTAAGGTACTCCAACTTAAACTCCTCCATATACTAAAAGGGGAACTATATAAATGTTCATTGCAATGTGGAGGATTATGTTATGTATATTGCAAAAAGTTGTTGATGGCTAAACTCTTTTCACAGCCCTATTATCATGGACTTATTGCTTCAACTGATACATTGAATTGAACTTTTCAGAAGAGTCAATCCCTGATTCTAAGTGATCGTAACCTCTATTACACATGATTCTCAATGTGCGCTTTGCCCAATAACACAGTAAGTGGCTGTGTATGAAGACTAACTGAGCAGTGGGTCACTTTGTACCGCTGTCAGTGACTGCCTTTCTATTCACAGAGCAAGCTTAGTGCTTATTCAGTGACATTGCGTTTCTTTTTGTCTTTTGACGAATCATCAGCCCGTTGTCCCACTTCTGTGCTGACTGAGTACTGTTGTTTCTCTTCTGTTTCTCTCCCTTCTCTTAGGCCGAAGAGGGAAATATAGAGTACAAGGTAAGCAAGTCAGCTTTGAGTAAGAACCTTGATTGTTTAAGAGCGTGCTCTGCTTTCCCTTAGAGATAATCTGGATCATGCGGTGCCCTTTAGCTATTATAGCTATATTATTACAGTCAGTCAGCAGTATGTAGGTAACATGTCAGACGAAGTATGCCTCCCCTTGGAAATTCAACACCAAGATGGATTAGCAACAACATTTTATTATCTGAACAGCTGTTTCCCCAGCTACAACATAGACTTTGTTCCATTTTCGTTATTGTACTAGTCCTAAAATAATCCTGTCTAACCTTTGTAACATGGGTACTTTAGCTGCTTACTAACCCATTCAACTTTCAGCAGTTTGGGTTTCTAAAGGCTTTGCCTTATTCTAGCTGAAGCTGGTGAACCCCACACAATACCGCTTTGAACACCTGGCAACACAAATGAAATGGCGACTGCAGGAGGGTCGCGGTGAAGCTGTCTATCAGATAGGTGTGGAGGATAATGGCATGCTGGTGGGACTGTCAGAGGAGGAGATGAGGGCGTCGCTAAAGACTCTCCACAGGCTGGCAGAGAAGTAAGTCTGGGAGGTGTTCCTTTGCTTTTTATTTTGGTGCTACTCGTATCTCTCTTACTTGTGAGTTACTTTAATATGTCAATCTTCTGTAACCCAAATCAAAATAAGGGGATCAACAATATAATTTATTGTTGGACAGAGTTGGAGCTGATATCACCGTCCTTAGAGAGCGGGAAGTTGATTACGACTCGGACCTGCCTCGGAAGATTGCTGAAGTTCTCATCCGCAAGGTACCAGATGACCAGCAGGTTAGTTTGGCTACTGTACAGTTTATGTAACTCTTTTCATTTTTAAATCCTTTTATGATTTTGATTTAAAACATTTGTTTTATTTTTCTCATAGTTCTTAGACCTGCGAGTGGCAGTGCTGGGTAATGTGGACTCAGGCAAGTCAACTCTGTTAGGTGTTTTGACTCAGGGAGAGCTGGACAATGGACGGGGAAGAGCCAGGCTCAACCTCTTCAGGCATCTACATGAGATCCAGACTGGACGCACATCAAGCATCAGCTTTGAGATCCTTGGCTTTAATAGTAAAGGAGAGGTGAGGAAAAGCCCAATAATGTGCAATTTTCACATGTAACTAGAGTTTGTATTTATTAATCCAGAGTTTAATTGTCATTATTGTGGTTATGAAAAATTATGAAGCATAAATATCTGATCCTCGTAGATATTTATCATTCAGCAACTCTGGCTTTTAATCTAATGTTAATACTGTATATGTTTTTTTGTTCTAGGTTGTGAATTACAGCGAGTCTCGGACAGCAGAGGAGATTTGTGAAAGTGCCTCTAAAATGATCACATTCATCGATCTGGCAGGTCACCATAAGTACCTGAAAACCACCATCTTTGGCCTCACCAGCTACTGTCCAGATTTTGCGATGCTGGTTGTCAGCGCAAACACGGGCATTGGTGAGCATTTGCAGATTAAGCTGCCTCTATGCTAATTTCATGTGTTCATTAGGATCATTACATGGTTACTAATATGTGTTTGTGTTTCACTTGATATAAGAATAAAACATTTAGCTGAGGCGGGTGATACCGGAACATACATAAAAAACTAGCCACCAAGTTATTAAACATCACAAAAAGCCATCCATTCATAACACAGGTTTTTCTGTTCGTAAACCTGATTATGGAGGCAAATAACTTTGCGTCAGTCATTTTGTATAAAAGAAAAAATGCAATCATCAAAGGTTTTGGCACAGCCACTTAAAGCCAAGCCAGATCTTCTATCAAAACAACAAACCAGAATGAAAGCAGGAAGCTTGAGTCCAGCTGTTGAAACCTGAGCTGGCGAGACTATAGAATGGAGTTATTAGATAACTTATATTTAGCTCCTGTTAATACGAGGCAGCCTTTTTAAGGAGAAAATTAAATTATATATGGGGAAAGATGATGATTGGATGATTAGGAAATCAATTTGAAACTATCCTTTAATTCTTAAAGTTTAAAGGTTTAGACAACTCAGCAAAAGCACTTATAAAAGAAGAGTATTTGTTGTTTAACTTTATCAGTCAGCAAACAGCATTTTATTTAGTTTGTCAATTAATTTGAAATACATTATAAAAGAACACAACAATAATTACAGCGTATCTTTTTATAGCTGACACATTCGGTTTCTTTATTCTTTTTATTTCTGTTCTTGATGTTGTGCAGGCGTTGCTGTGTTTATGTCTGCTGTGGAATAGGTCATGCTGTGGAAAAATGGGGTCAGGAATGTACACCATGCTGGCTATGCCAAAGACAGGAAAGGACATGCCGTCTGCAACCCTAGAGCTGAGGCTTTAATTATGAAACGGAGTAATCGATAGGTGTAACTCATATGGCTCCTCCACAGCTCGGTGATATCAGCCAAAAAAGAAAGCCAGACAGTATGTTATCATGCTGTTTTGGGTGGTGATCTTTTGATATTTTACTGTATTGTGAAACACTCAGACATCATCCAGAAATGCCTTAAAATGATTAATTAATTTAATGTGTTTATTCACCACGGACCTGCTGAAAAGAAATAAGATGACCTGCTTCTCAGGATTCAGGGTATATTAAATATCAGGGGCTCTGTAATATTTCCCATGTGTCAGTACCCTTGATGTTTTTGGAGCAGTAGCACAAGTGGAGACCTATACCACTGTTGCATAACGCACCCAACATGGCTCAGGAATACAGGCGATAGCTTTGTTTGCAGAAAAACTTTACTCACCTGGCAATCGTCCAAGATGCTGTCGTGTGTTTGAGGCATCTCTTGGTTTAGAAGAGTTGTTACTTTGCACTTTAACCAACAAACATGAAAGGTATAATTAATGTAGATGGTATAATATTTCCAGGCAAGGTTATTCAGTCTATCGCATGGGATGTCACAGCGTTGCATGAGACATTCTGCCTTGCCTTATCTGTGTGTGTACACAGTTTTCTACTCAATAAAGCTGACAGCATATAGATAAGAGAGGCTTCCCTGCGTCGCAGCTGTACTTAACTGCTGTGCCCCACTTTGTCTTGTTTGCAGCTGGTACGACACGGGAGCATCTTGGCCTCGCCCTGGCCCTGAAGGTGCCCATCTTCATTGTAATCAGCAAAGTGGACCTCTGTACACGGGCCACTGTGGAGCGCACGGTGCGACAGCTGGAGCGCGTCCTCAAACAGCCAGGCTGCAACAAAGTGCCCATGGTGGTAGGCAGTACAGACGATGCCGTCACAGCAGCGCAGCAGTTTGCCCAGTCACCAAAGTACGACCCAAAGTTTAGTCGCATTAGAGCTTGAGCCCGCCTCAAATCTTGTCACAGCGCTGTGTCTTTGATACCCGCTGATGTGCTTGCTCTCTGCCTGGCAGCATCACACCCATCTTCACATTGTCCAGCGTTACCGGTGAGAGTTTAGACCTGCTCAAAGTCTTCTTCAACATCATCCCTCCTCTAAGCAACAGCAAGGAGCAGGAAGAGCTTATGCAGCAGCTAACAGAGTTTCAGGTACACAATCTGCTGGCTGTGGTTTGCACTCTGTCAGTACCGGCACGATTCTGACATAATTCCCCACCGTTTGCATCATTACAGGTGGATGAGATCTACACAGTTCCAGAGGTGGGGACGGTGGTGGGTGGTACACTGTACAGGTCAGTGTGTGGTAATCTTCATTTCATTCTACGTGCTGTATTATTTTGTGAAGGTATGAAATCTCTCTGACCACCTTTTCTTTTCTATAACGCAGTGGTATTTGCCGTGAGGGGGATGGTCTTGTGGTAGGGCCCACAGACTTGGGCCAGTTCCACAAGTTGACGGTTGGCAGCATCCAAAGGAATCGATCGGCATGCAGAGTTCTGAGGGCCGGCCAGGCTGCTACGCTTGCTCTGGGAAACTTCGACAGATCATTACTACGCAAGGTCACACTCTTCATGTCTGAGCGTTCACCTTATTAGACAGACTGATTTTACACTGGAAACTTGATATCAGATATGTTATGTCAAGAGGTATGAAACATGAATACAGTTATACAATCTAAATTCAAAGTTTTAGCCCAGCCATATCATCCCGTTACACACATGAAACCCTTTCTATATTCTAACAGCGTGCATGTGTTTTCTGCTAACAGGGTATGGTGATGGTGAGTCCTGAGATGGATCCTACAATCTGCTGGATGTTTGAGGCTGAGATTGTGCTACTCTTCCATGCCAAGACCTTTCACAAGGGTTTCCAGGTTACTGTGCACATTGGAAACGTGAGACAGACTGCTACCGTGGAGGCTGTTTACGGCAAGGTAATTCACCCACTGTCTTACCCTGAAAATGGAAAACAACAGGGAAATCAGTATTATTTTACCTCTACAGAGATTGTCTTCCTTGAAAAGTATAATTCATTAAATGTTAACAATTTTTTAAAAAATGAAATAAAATAATGTTGTAAATTACTCATTAACATGATACAACACCATCTAATCCATCTACGTTTCACCCCTATTCATCCTCTTCTAATCACTGCACCACAGGAGGAGCTGAGGACAGGGGAGAAAGCAGTGGTTCTCTTCAAGTTCATCAAGCACCCAGAATATCTGAAGGTTGGGGCAAAGGTGCTCTTCAGGGAGGGAGCAACTAAAGGGATCGGCCACGTCACCAAGTTGCAGCCCATCGCCCAGTACCCTTCATCCCATCTGGAGGATGAGGAGCCCTAAAATTGAGTTACTCAATCGCTGCATCAGAAAACCGTCCCACACAAACTCATGCACAGTAAATCCCTTTTTACAGGTCTGTGGGTTTATCACCTTTTTCCAAAGCCTTGTTACTGCTTCTCATCTTCAGCCTTTTCAAACGGCGGCTGATATTTTAACCCGCTTTTCGGGTATCGAGTTTTAAAGAGGGTTAGCTTTTCTCGGCACAGCTCAAAAGAAGCCCAGAGACTTGACACTGGACAACACATTAACTCAGCAATGTCTACCAAAGTGTTTTTTTAAAGCAGACATACCTGAAGTGCACAGATCAGTAAGTAGCAAATGTGACATTTTCACATCTGTGTTGAGGTGCTGCTTATGAAGTTTACACCCAAATGCACTCCTGATTCTAAACTGATGGTCACAGACATTTGCACTAATCTATACATTTCAGCATTGATACGTCTTTGGCAGATAACTGCAAAGTATGAGATGCTTTGACACGAAGGTGTTGTCAGTATCATTTATGTGATACACAATCAATAACCCACACCCGCCCGTCTGTGTTACCAGCATAGTGCCTGAAAGACCTTGGATCTTGCAGTTTGATGACTTCTGGGCTATATCCTCTTAGCGACTGCTTGTGAAGGATCTGAGCAAAAGAAATGAGATGCATCTGTCGGCATCACAGCTTGTCAGCCAGGTACATGCTTCAAGCTGTGCTGTCGACAATGACGCGTTTAGATTGTGAAGGGGAGGAATGGGAGATATGCAAAGGAAGAACTCGACCTAGTTTGTTTGTAAGTCTGCCAAAGCCACTCACATCGGCAGTCGCTGTTTGTCTGTCACATTTGTCTGTGAGAAATATTTCTTAGTCACACGTAATGCCTCACTGTAGAACAGCGAGATTGGGACAATCTTGCTGGTTATCTTTCAGTGCTTTAGTTACTCAGGTCAGTGTAGATCTTGTGTTAGATAGCATTCCACTTTCACAGAACCCTTCCCGCCGAGGAGATCAGAGATTTGATGAAAAACAGACCATTTTGTTTCTGACCAAGATGTGTGCATTTGTGTGTTTGTGTGTGTGTGAAGCTGCATACTGGTGCAGCTTTGTTTAAAAGCAATGATGTTGGAGGTACTCAATTTTGTTTCTTCACATAAGTTATTGATGTCTGAAGTTTAGACGTGGACTAACAGTGCCTAGTGGAACTACCATCTGAGTAGCCTTCCATTATTGCCCAAAGTTTTATATTTTAGGAAACGCCTACTGGTCGGTGCAGTCACTTCAAACAGGTTTTATTATTTCAAAGAAAAATGTTTGAAAATTATTGTTAGGTAATACTCTGTCCAAGCCTCACCGTCATGTCTTATTACTGCATGCAGAAATTATTGCTGCACACGTCGTTGTCCCACTGACATCATGATGATTTCTCAGTCTGTGTTTTTGTGCATCCCCTGTGGCATTAGTACAGTTTGTATGCAGAGGAGGGGGACATTGAAGAACACGTTTCAACCAAATTCTTTTATAGCATTTAAAAAGAATTCAGGTGCTGGTTTGTTTTTAATGCATTACACTTTTGTATTCTATAGACTTTTAGTGGACTTGTAATGATTTTACAGGTGATCACATTTTCCACAGCAGTTTGAGACGCCGGATCAGCTTCACTTTTTTAAAATCAAGTTTAAAGCCTTTCTTTCCTTTGAATTGATAATGTAATATTCTTGATTTGTTGGGTAAAATGCAATATTTATGTACAGATCCAATTTGTGTCATGATGTACATAAATAAAACCTTTTCTTACCTCCTGTACTGCCATTTATTGTTTTTAGGTAAACTGCCTGATGGTGCTCATTGTTCCTGTAATGGCTTTGTTACAGAGACATGACTCATTACTAAAGGTGGAGCTTAGAAGAGGCTTTTTTTTCCTTCATTTGCCACTCCCTATTGTACTGATCTTCTGATGCAATACAGTGCAAGATTGATTCGATTAAGAGCAGTTAATTGAACCAACTAATATAATCATGCCAAACTAACCTTAAATTCATACTTACCGAGTACGAGTTTAATTGGAAAAGTTATTGAAATTGTGAGTTGGTAACATTAAAAAGAAAAGTGTTGGACAGAAGCAGACCTAACGTAGTTTTAACAAAACAAATTAAATACTGTTTGAATATGCAACAAAATTTACTGTAAAAACATGAATACAAGATTTATTAAACTACAGTGAGGTCTAATGTTCATTTAGAAACTCACTACTGACATCTACTGGCAAGTCAGAGTATTACAAAATGGAAAACACTAACAATATGAAGAATCTTTTATTAAAAAGCGAGTTAAAAATAAACCCTTTAAAAATTACTGAGTTTCTGCTTTAAATGGAAAAAAGGTGAGCCAAAATAAATAAATAAATCATCTCTTTAATTTGTTTTACGGTGTCATCAAACTTTGACTTTGAGAGAGTCTTACAATATGCAGTCACAAATCACATTGTCTTTTAAGAAGTTTGTCCTTTATATACGCATAATAAGTTACTGTAACAACACCTGTCCTGAACCTTCAGTTCTTCTTGAAAAAAGAATCCAGGGTGCCCGTACTTGCACCGTGGCTACGGAATCTTTTCGCCACAGGTCCTGACTGACCTCTGGTTTTTGTCTTGCCCCGTGAGGACTGGGTTGTGTTTCCTGCTCTAAGTGGAGTAAGGGAGGCACTGGAGGAGGACGATGTCAGAGAGGAAGAGGTGACAGTGGATGAAGACAGTGAGTTTTGGAGGTCCAGGGCAAAGTGATAGTCATTGTGCTCGGGCATTTCCCAGACCAGCACCTCTTGACCGCAGCGGTCACAGGTTAACATGTCTTCTTTGGCCACATTGGCCGGAGGGGGAGTTACCTCTGGATTGATCTCTTGCTCGTCTCCGTCTTCTTCACAAGATATTTGCTCTGAGTCATACTTTGTGCCACCATCAGCTTCTTCACTTTTATTATCACGGATGAGCGCATGTTTCTGTCCTGATTCAGGTTTGGTCGAAGTCGTCGCCGAGACCAGCGAATTTCTCTCGAGGTTCTTCTTGTGAAAAAAGGACATGTGGAGGCTTTCTGCACCCATTCTAGAGTGAAACGAACTTGTGTTAGAGGACACTGGGGGGCTGATTTCTGCTTCCAGTTTACTATCAGTGCCAGAACCTCTATCAAGGGTAGAAGGTAGGGGGTCTTCTTTGACACTTTCACATTCATCTTCCTCTTCAGCAAGCTTCCCAACCTGCTTTTGCTTCTCAGCAACCCTATGAAAGAAGGATTGAATGGAGCCAGGTTGTTTGCATGGAGAGCCATTTCTCAGCTCAGAGCGTGACTGACTGGACGACTGAGAAGCAGAGAAAACACTCTGAGTTGAAGTGACGTCACTGGAGAGAAAGCCCGCAATCCCGCCAGCTGAGGGAGCGTCGCTGAACTTGCTGGCTGAGATGTGCAGCAGGGTGAGAGGTGGAGTCCTGCGGATATAAAAGACAGTAAATCTCACTCACAGCATTCCCTCCACCTGCACTTAGAATAGCTCACTGTCTTAAAGCACTACTATTACCATGCTGCCTGATGGTTTCCGGCTATGTTCAGACTCTTGATAATGGCAAAGCTGTCGGTGGATAATTTGGCTGCCTCATAGCGAACCAACGCACAGCATCGGGAGAAGCTGCTCGGTCTCTTATCACCAAGCTGGCGCACCCCGACGGTCAGTAACTTTGCTACTCGACCATTCTGTAAGGAGGTAAGAAAAAACTGATGCGAAAACCCACTGACACAACAACACAACCGAGCTAGGCATCGAAAAGAAACATTTTACACAACTCGGCCTCTTTTTCTTACCGATTCTCTGTCTTTGGTAAGCCTCTCCTCCAACTCCAGAGCAAGTTGATGAAGCCAGTATTGCACCTAAACAGAGCTTTATTGTTAACATAAACCCTTTGGAAAATTACGTGTGTATAAAAGCAGTTAAAGATGGTCTGTACCTGATCTTTGGTGGCCAGCGACGTCTTCCCAGGAAAGTTTTTACTGCAGCCAATGGACTTGGGAAGCTGTCGGGGTTTCACCGCTTCAAACTCGATCCCCCGACATAAGTCATACAGCCACTGGCTAAA